GGGTATCGGGTATACATGTTAATATTCTCATGTTAGCAGTCACCAAATCCCATGTATCTTGGTCACTGCTTTGTTATCATTTATACAAATAAGGCCATGAAGTGTCCCTTTCCTTTCTGCATCGCAACACAATGTATTCTGTGCAAAAATGTTGGGTATGGCAACACATACAGTATATTACAGTGAAACATTTACATTTATTCATTTAGCAGGCACTTTTATCCAAAGCGACTTACAGTGAAGTACGGTAACTACAGAGACAGTCCCCCTGGAGCAAGTTGGGGTCAAGGGCCTTGCTCAGGGGCACAATGGTGGCATCCCCTGGGAGTGAACTCACAATCTTCCGGTGTTCCTAATGGGAGCTCAGCCAGATCCCTGACTACTAGACCACCACCGTCCCCCTAGATCACCACCAAGCATTTTACAATGCTTGAAGCTGGAAAGCTGAATGAAAACACATACCTGCCAGCAATTTCAGCTAAACACTTATCTAGGAATTTGTGTGGTTAGTGCCAATTTGCCATATGTACAAATCTTTGGATTGGCATTTTCCATTGCCATTTTTCTTTAGCTAGTGAAAAATGGATGCAGCAAGAGGCAGAGGAAGACATCAATGGAGAGGAAGACCAATGGTTACTGATGAAATCAGAGCCACAGTAATTAACCATGTTGTGAATCATGGTCTGTCCCCGAGGAAAGCGGGTCTCAGAGTTCAAGAACACCTGCCTAGATCCACAGAGGCATCAATTGTCCGGATTTTCAGGCAAAGCAACAGGTATTATACACTATTTAGAGCATTCTGACTCTGATTGATGTGTATATTACTGTAGTGGTGTGATTTGAGGAAAGTCTCCAGGAAAAAACTGGTGCACGTTTGTCTTTATTCTAACCCACTACTGAAGGATTTAGCGTTTACCTCCCAGAGGAGGGAGAGGAAGAATTTACCAGTATTTGTGATTGTGTGGGACAATGTGGTCTTTTATCATTCCCGCCAAGTCACAGAGTGGTTTATTGCCCATCCCAGGATGATGTCATTATTCTTGCCACCATACTCTCCATTCTTCAACCCCATTGAAGATTCTTTTTCTGCATGGGGATGGAAGGTATATGACCATCGGCCACATGATCAGATCTTGCAGTGTCCAATGTCTTTTAGATGCAATGGCTGCTGGCTGTATGGACATCCATGTGGAGGACATCCAGAACTGGATAAGGCACTCGGTGTATTGCAAGAGAAAATATTTGGTGTGATGTCGATGAAAATTTATGGCCAAATGCAAAGGACCGAATGGATTAGATCAGGTCAACAGTATACTTGACTGTATACAGTGAAACTTTGTTATTTGGCGATTTTTGTTTTTTTTTTTTTGTATTGAATGTAATGTACATACAAAACTTTCAGTAGGTGGTTGAAATGTATTTTTCTTTTCCAGTGTATTGCGCAGCTGAATTTATTTACTGTATTTTGTTTGTATTACAATGTTTACTGTAAGAAATGTCATACGTTTTTCTTTTACTTTGCAATAAACATTGTGTGAAAATATTGGATACAACGACACATCATATATAATTCATTCTGCAGTGCTTCAAGCTGTTTGTGTTTTTTCATGCATTGTTCTTTGTGTGACAAAGTCGTCTTGTGAGAGTGTGTGTGCGGTTTGGCAGCATGAGTCACTTTTGGGTGAAGTTTTAAGTGTTTTGGTGGTTTTAAAGCATTTTGCACTGAATGTTAACTGATATGCTCAGGTGCATGTTTGTAAAGTTCACAGTCTGAAGTGTTTTGAAAAAGTGGACATGGTATTGAGACAAGTGTGAAAATTACTGGAAAAAAGTGTAGTATCGCCTCCGTTTAGTCCATACATTTCTTGTCTCTATTCACGGACAACCTTTTCTTAAATTCAATCTGTATCTTTAGTTTACCTGAACCAAATAAAAGTTATTTTTTACATTAATGCGTTCATCCATAGTGTTCATCACAGTTCAGTGCCTTACCTTTCAAAGCATATGAAGATAAGCTGGTGTAGCATCTCAGAGAACAGCATTGCCATCTCTCACACGCAAAACTGCACTATGCCTGCCTTTTTGGGTTGTGTTTAGGAGCCTTGTGTCACACTTGAATTTGTGTCCTGAATTGAGCTGCGTGTGTATAAGTGTGTGTGAGTGTGTCTGGCTGTGGGCCTGTAACTGGCGCCCTGCCCATGGTGCTCCGGAACTCTTGTCTATCTGGGTCACCGTGAGCCTATATTATTAGATAAGTGCTTGTAGAAAATAGTTGGATGGGGGAAACAGCATCAAATTATACTTTATGGCCTTAAAAGTATAAACTTCTAAGATGACTTAATTGGGACAAAATGTTGAAGCACAAAAGTTTGGAACTTGAACTTGCACACAGCAGTCAGCTCTGGGGTCACATGATATAGACCAACCAGTGAGGGGGGATGTTCTCCATAGTGCCAACACAAGAAAAGACAAATACTACATCAGACCAAAGATTCCTATTAGTGGCAAAGTGTTAATGGACACTTTCAGCAAGAGTATCCAATAATAATACAATTTCAGTATCAACTGAAAATGTATCTACTAGAGGTAGACTGATAACCTAATGTTTCTACTTCTTTCACCTGGAATTTTAAAGCTGAAAATATTTACATCTCCAGTTCGGTATGCTCCAGTTCACATTATATTAGCAAACAAGTATACTGTATCAGACATTACTGCTTACAACAAACTATTTAAAGGAACGAAAAAACGATTCAGTTCTTTTTTCAGTTTAATGACAGAAGTGCAAGGTAATACAAATAACCTTTGATCTAAATCTCAAAAGAGTTTTCAACACAGTGTATGAAGCCAGTGTGCGTTTGTATTCATCACAGAACATGTTTTGCCTTATAAGCGAAAAACCCCAACTGTACAATGTGCACCAATAAACACTGCTGACACAATACAATGTATAACAAAAAAAAGGGTGTAAAATCAAAAGTTGGTCCCACTGGATGTTGTCATTGACAAATGAAACTGAAATTGTTCAACTTAAGTCAGGGTGTTTGTGACAGTGGATACTATGTAAGAGATTTAGGTAAGACAGAACACTGATCCATTTGCCACACTAGAATGTATCTGAAGGTTGAATCAGTCAGATGTTGAATGATAAGTGTCATGCCTGTCAATGAGTGTTTGTGGCCCAAATTTGAGTGATACACGCAGCTCTGCCGATATAGGCAGATCTTTGCTGGCACATTTGCCACATCAAAGGCAACAGAGCCATGCGCAATCAGCATCATAGTCAGTTTGCTCAAATTGGTCTGGTGTGTGCTCATACAGTAGGTCATAGTACGATAGGTCATAAAATCAGGCTTACTTCAGCAGTCCCGAGAAACCTTGATGGGTCTTCACTGAGGAAATATGGTAATCTTCTTAAAGTGACAGCCCTTTTCATTCTGTTGGAATTCTTCTAAGACAGAGCACATCATTTAGGACACCTGCCACTTTTGCCACAAAAAAATAATAATATGGTAATGAAAAGTAAAGTAAAAATCTTGAGTCCAGACATGGGAACTCAGATGGGTAAGAAAGGTGGCAAGACAATGTTAACAATGAAACAATGTTATTTATCCAACTTAATTTGGTATAAACATTACTGTTAACCCCAAATCCAAAATTAAAACTGCAAATGACTAGCCTGTAACCCTGATTAAAGACACTTACCTGTTGCTCTGTAAATAAAGCTGGCCACTTAATCTTCACCTCTGCCACAGATGGCTCTTCTTCTACAATATGTTTTCTCCGCAAGGAGAAGGTGCTGACCATCATTTCTTCAATTTCCTTCATATCTGATCTCTTCTTTTTCATCTCTCCAATAATCTGCAATCTCTCTTCTTCCAGGACATCTTCAGTTCTTCCCTTAGGGAAGTCTGGAAGAAAGTTGACCTCAGCTTTTTTAGCTTTCTTGAGTTTCTGTTTAGGTCCTGAGGAGCGGCTGTTAACTTGAAGTTCAGAGCATCCAGCCATACGAAGCTTGTTCCTGTAGTTTCCCATTTTGAATTTCAAGCTGAATTTCCAGCAGTACCAACCCTTGGAAGACCCAGGTTACCAAAGGCAAGGATGTTTTTTGATGAGACTTTGTGCAACAATGTCGTATTCCTCTCGTGATGGGTAGGCAGTGTATGAGTAAATTGTTTCCGCCAGCTTGTCAAGAATTTCACTTTTAGTGTCTTTCCTTATATTCAGCAAAGTTCCATCTTTCTGGTTGCCCCCTTTAAGCTGCAACTCTACATCATATGGAAATCTTGGTATCTCAAATACTTCAGGCCAAGGCTATTGTCTGGTGGAAAGGTCTTCATGAGAAGATGTGGAGGCCAAACTTGCAGTGTCCAATGTTGAATCTGTGTGGTATGACTCAGTTGCATTCTTGACAGTTACCTTCAATGTCACTCTTCCTTCAGGAAGATCAGACAAGTTTGTCAAGTTGCACAGCTCATTATCAAAGTCTCTATCTTCGTACTGGACTATCAGGTCATCTTCCACTCTAAGCTTACATTTCAGTAATGAGAAGAATTCCTCAAGTGTCTCTGGCAAATTATCGATCTGTATCTTCCTGATGTCATCCTTGTTTAAAATGACTCGGAGCAGCATACTGGGCACTGGAATAACAAAATAGTTTTAAAATATTATAGTAACATCAACAGTACTCTATTTTGAAGAAAACAGAGGTGCATCTTACCTTATCCACACACAAGAGGAAATCTTCAGTAAGAGCACAACAAAACCTTCAGATCTTAGAGCTCTGCTATGAAGATGGGAATGAGGAAAACAACATGTAAATGGCAATGCAAGATACAAAGTGATTTTAATGTAATTGTCATACTATAGTTGTCTTCTAATAAAACCTAATAAAACTACGATCACCCTTAATTCTACATGCTACTTTTTTAAATGAGCGACAATAGTGGCATGTTAACATTGTGCAAGAGATATTTATGTAATTCTGCAATTCACCCACTTCAATCCAGCAGAAATGCTTTAGGAGAGACCAGAAGTTTCTCTTGAACCATATACGCCGACAGGGGGAAGTAGTCACTGAGCTCTTCTGGTTGGACTACAAGCAGTTTAGCAGAGGGATTTTTGCAGACCTCAAAGCATCGCAAGTGCTCAATGTACCAGAATGTATATGGCTCCACAGTGAAAAAGGGGTTGTTTTCAACAATTAGCACATGAACAATCTTCCCAAAATCAGGAAGTCCACCTGTGCTCCCAGATGATAAAAACATGCCTTGAGTGTACAGAGTTCCATGTAGAAAGACAGTTTTTGTGAGCGCAACAGCAGTCACATTTCTAAATTTCCTCCTGATAGTGTCTTTGACGGAAGGGTCCAAAATATCAGGGGAAACGGTTGATACTTTTCCAACTTCCAGTGCTGGTTTGAACAAGTCTGGCATGCCCATGTAGCTGATGCCTAGAGGCTAAAGTTAGTGGTACATTTTTGAAGTTCTTAACATCATGAACAGTCGACTTAAAAAAAACTGTGCTTGGCCTCAAATCTAAAAGTCCAACAGTTCAACAAAGGCCCAAAACAGCGAGTGAGATGGGGGCAGTGCTCCAAGTAATGATGTTTTGGTTTTAACTTAAACTCAGGAAACACCTCTTGTAGGAGTTGCCGGTGTTCGAAAATTCTGGTTTCAAGATAACACAACTTTTCCTCTGTGAATGTAGATGATGCTAGAATTTCTACATTGTCTTTAATATCCAAGATGATTTCCCAGATCCTATCATTCTCTGGATTTTTACTGCCAATGAGCAAAGGTAACATCCTTAGAACTGACCAATTTTCATGCCTGTTCCCACTAATTGTTCTTTTTGATTTAAAAGTCTTTGGAATGGTCTGTGGCCTATTTGTCTTATCTGAGAATTTATAGGGAAAACGCCTAATAGAGGTATTCAGTTCCTCTAAGGTAAAGTATTTTTTGTCAATCAACGACTTTAAACACAAACACAATTCGACAGGCACGATTCTTTCCAATAAATCGTGTAACAAGTCAGGTGGAAAACCTGTTATGCAGTGAAAGTAGGTTAGCTTGTTTAGGACACAGTCTGCTTTAACTTCATCAACAACAGCCTCGTTCTCTTCTACTCTTTGAACAGCTTCAGTGTGTAATAGTTTTGTTCTCAGTGGAAACAAACCATCCCTTACAGAGACAGCCTGAATAGCATCATGGCTGGCAAAACAAAATTTATCAACATTAAATGACTCTTGAAAGCCGGCCAAAGAATGTGCACCTAAATTGTCTGATGACACATACAAGACTGTGCCTTTGATGAAAGAACCTAACCTATCAATGTAAAAGCCCTGATTTTCAAGTGTACAAAGCTCCTTTAGAAGTGGTTCAACAACTGGTTCAAACCCAAAAATTTTTATATCATTACTGTTGCTCATGACTTTGTCAGCATCTGACTGGATGTGGCCATATTCTTCACTCCCTGACTGTGTGTTAGTATTAACTGTTTCTGCTGTAGTATTTATAACCTCCTCTTCTAAATGTGGGCCAAAGAAGCAGCTCGGTTTTAAAATCTTGAAATGAGTTGGCGTTATGGTATCGACTTTTGTGTGCCGTGAAACTAGAACTTATACTTGTTCTAAAATCACAACTGCTAAATGGGCAAAGGACAGTTTCTTTGTTTTTCAAATGTGTGCCAAGATAACGAAGATATATTTTAGTGTCTGCAGGTTCTTCAAAGTCACATAAATGGCATCGGATTCTAAAAGTCACTGGTTCACTGCTGCTGAATCCATGTTGCCTCACATGCTTTCGGAGAGACTTGTGTGACTGGAAGTAGCATGTGCAATCACTGTAAATGCAGGGGAGAGCTAATCTTCTTCCATAGTGACCATGACTGGATTGATAGTGTTCAAGAATTCCACGGCGATTTGTAGTGGCATACGTGCAAAACTTACATATCCATCTAATTCGTGAAGAAACAATGGTATTGAACAGGACCTAAAAAAAAAACTAATATTAGTACAATGGCAATGATTTCCAATATCTCTTGTAACCATAACAGAGTCATCACAATACAGCGACCAGTTCCCATTTCTCTCAGCTCAAATTATCAAGTAACTTTATTGAATATTTCAAAAACATTTTTATAGATTTAGGCTAAGTGTTATATGTGTAAAATGTACCCTGATTAAACATAAAATATCAACAGTGTATCATTGACTTGAATGTTAGTGTCAAATTGGTTTGGTTACCTAATACTTAATTATGGAAAATCATCGTCAGACTGTCTCCCTCTCCAATTTTCACGTGGAGCTACACTGAGAGTTAAAACACGAGTAGCAAAACTGTGGCTACCTCACTGGATTGTAGGCTACATGAAATGTCCACTTAGAAAGAGTAAACTAGCAAATCATGCAACCACTGTGGGAAAGCCTCAACCTTTGGGCCATGTAACAGCTATAAAATACACGTTTGACTTAGTAATGCCCCTTGTGGCAAATGCTGTGACATCCACATAGTAAGCCTATATTAAAGTTTTTTCCAATCATTTTCACACTTGTCTCAATACCATGTCCACTTTTTCACAACACTTCACACAGTGGGCTGTACCAATACACACCTGAGCACATCACTTAACCTTTCGTGCAAAATGCCCTACAACCACCAAAACGTTTCACAATTCACGCGTTAAAATGATTGGAAAAAACTGTAAAACATAAGAAAAATGCAAGGTTAACATTTTTATTATAGTGCCTTCATCTTCAATTCATTCTACAATTCCAGTACTCCATGCACATTAAAACAATTACACTCTAATACATTTTGAAAGAAAAAAAAACACTAGTAACTAAGTGCATTATGGTATGATGAGTAGTGTGCAAGGCACAAAACCATTCACTAACATGTTGTTATGTTATTAGCAGACAGATATCTTACAAGCCAAATTCACAATCAGAATCTAGTGATCGCAGAAAATAAAATATCTTTGTCGTATTATCCTGCGTTCGATTATTTCTCTCTGAGTAGGAACTTGGATGAAAACGTCACGAAACGTCACGAAAAACGTCACTTCCCATCGGAAAACAGAAAAACTAATGCACCATTACACAGCCTTGTATGCAAGGACAACGGATTGTGACGTTGTTGTGGGATAATGGTGCGTTTGTTTTTCTCTCAGAACTCGGAAATTCCGAGTTGAGTGACATCACATCCGACAATCTCCCATTCAAGCTACCACATCTCAGAACAAACATGGCTGCCTCCATGAACACACTGCAGTGTGTTGTTGCTTTATATTTTAGCAGATTTAGAGTGAGATTATTTTTTCTGAGAGACAAACAAACAAGAAACATGAACTAGTCAAACCACATTAAAAGCTTTATAAAATATTTTAGTACAGTACATTCCTAGCGATATTCTTTTTTTGAGAGTCAAACAAACTACAAACAAACCAAAGACACTAACAAGTCTGGTAAAAATCTGATATTGCATGCTAGGATACGGTTTACGGTCATGATATGGTATTCTCTAAATCGAATATGTGCAATTGCATTTATAACTATTAATACATTTAACAAAATAAACATTTTAAAAGATTTATACAATAGAATTACTTTTAAGTGTGTAAGCCGCCATGTTGAAATTACGTCACTGGGGCAAGTCAGACAACAAATTTTGGTGCGTTTGTTTTTCTTTCGGAAATCGGAAATTCCGAGCTGAGTGACATCACGTCCGACAATCTCCCGTTCGAGCTACCCACATCGCGGAACAAACATGGCTGCCTCCATGAACACGCTGCTCTGTGTTGTTGCTTTATATTTTAGCAGATTTGGAGTGAGATTATTTTTACGAGAGATAAACAAACAAGAAACACGAACTAGTCAAACCAAATTAAAAACTTTATAAAATATTTTAGCACATTCATAGCAATATTCTTTTTTCGAACGGCAAACCCATCCATCCATCCATCCAACCCGCTTATCCTACTGGGTCGCGGGGGGTCCGGAGCCTATCCCGGAAGCAACAGGCACGAGGCAAGGAACAACCCTGGACGGGGGGCCAGCCCATCGCAGCAAACGGCAAACCAACAACAAACAGACCACAGACACTAACAAGTCTGGTAAAAATCTGATATTGCATGCTAGGATACTGTTTACGGTCATGATATGGTATTCTCTAAATTGAGCATGTGCAATTACATTTATAACTATTAATACATTTAACAAAAACATTTTTAAAGATTTATAAAATAGAATTACTGTTGAGTGTGTAAGCCGCCATGTTGAAATTACGTCACAGGGGCAACTTGTCCGACATCAACGTCATAAAAGAGGCGTGTTTCAGATGGGAAGTGACGCTTTTTGTGACGTTTCGTGACGTTTTCATCCGAGTTCCGACTTGGAGAGAAATAATCGAACACACCATTAGCCCGTATAAAGGATAGACGTTTAATGAGGAAACTAACTGCGCAAAGTCATGCACTTTTTATCTAGACATCTGACAAATTGTTCGTACCTGCCTGTAAATCGGCGTACAAAAAATGCCAAATATCGGCACGATATATCTGCCGGCCGATATATCGGTCGACCTCTAGCAACAATGTGTATTTCAGAACACTTGATCAGCTCGTCACCCTTAGAAGGATACTGGAGGGTTCATGGCAATTTGTTCAACTAGTCGACATGTGTTTTGTGAACTTGGAAAAGGAATACAATTGTGTCTCTAAGGGGGCTCTGTGAGGGGTGCTTCAAGAGTATGGGGTACTGGGTACGTTGTTGCAGACCATCAGGTTCCTGTATAAACGGAGCAAGAATTTGGTCAGCATCACGAACGTCAGACTTACTCCCAGTGGACGGAGTCCAGTTCGGTGACCTCAGAATGACGTCTTCACTTTTGGACGATGTGGTCCTGTTGACATCATTAGGCTGTGACCTGCAGCATGCACTGGGGTGGTTTGCAGCTGTGAGTGAGGAGGCTGGGAAGAGCATCAGCAACTCCAAGTGTGAAGCCATGGTTCTCAACTGGAAATGGATATATTACTGCCTCAAGCAGAGGACTTTAACTATCTTGGGGTCTTGTTTTTGAGTGAGGGAAGAAAGGAGTTGGAGATGACAGGTAGATCGGTACAGCATCAGCAATAATGCAGACACCATTCTGTCATGGTAAAGAGAGAACTGAGCCAGAACACAAAGCTATTGATCTACAGATCAATCTACGTTCCTACCCTCACCTATGGTCATAAGCTTTGGATATTGACTGAAAGGGATACAAGTGGCAAAAATTAGTTTTCTTATCTGAGTGTCTTAGATCAGTCATTTGAGAGGAGCTCAAAGTAGAGCCACTGCTCCACCATATCAAAAGCAGCCAGTTGAAGTGGTTCAGGCATCTATCTAGGATGCCTCCTAGGTGCCTCCTTGGAGAGGTGCTTCAGGCACATCCAACCAGGAGGAGACCCAAAGGCAGACCCATGACACACTGGAGTGGTTACATCTCTTGGCTTGCCTGGGAATGCCTTGGTATTGCCCCAGTGGAGCTGGAGGAGGTGGTTGTGGAGAGAGAGATCTGGGCATCCCTGTTTAAACTACTGCCCCCACGACCTAACCCCAAATAAGTGGCCGATAATGGATGGATGGCTTTCACAATAAAGTCATTTTCACAATGATGTAGGCCTATTTCCAAATGATTGTTTTCCAAACCAAGGGTGAGCTCTACGTTAATGGTGTCTCTTAATGTGTTACGAAGACTTGAAAGGTATACCTTACTGAAGGTGTGCACTCTTCTGCATATGGGCCCGTATTCACAAAGCTTCTTAAGCCTAAAAGTTGCTCCTAGTGATGAAATAAAAATCTTAGAATTATGGCATTTTCCTAGAATTTCCCCTTAAATTTAGGATTAAATCTGAGTAAAGATAAAAATGATTCACAAAACATCTTAGCCCTAAAAACAGACCCTAAGGTAAAATTTGTTAAGAGTAGAGAGGAGGACTTTTAAGAGGCTTAAGAATTTCTATAGCAGAGGACAAAATGGCGGACAGAAGAAATATTCTCCAAACACTGAATGATCGTGAGTTAATTAAACGCTACAGATTGGATCATGATGGGATAATGTTTGTGGTCGAACTTATTAGAGATGCGCTCACATCTCCCACTCAACGTAGTAATGCCATAACGCCAGAAATGAAAGTGATTACAACACTGAGGTATTTGGCAACTGGAAAAATGCAACAGTGCAGTAGTGATGACTTGTGTCTGTCACAACCTTCCATCAGCAGAGTGATCACACAAACTATTGAAGCGCTTTCACAGTCTCATATAGTGAAACAGTTCATTTCATTTCCACTGGACGTTCGCACTCTGCAGGCTCACAAAAGGGCATTCATGGACATAGCGGGGTTTACCGGTG